ATCAAACATGAAGTTCCACAGGACTCGATTCTTGGACCTCCGCTGTTCCTATTTTATATTAATGATTTACCCACAGTAATAAATAATATGGTATTGTATGCTGATGACACTAGTATTATAGTTGTTGATTCAAATAATTCAAGTTTTGAAACAAATCTTAATCAAACCTTCAAAACTATAAATGCTTGGTTTAATGCCAATCTGCTTACTTTGAATTTTAGTAAAACTCAATATTTGGCTTTTCAATCTATGAAACATCGTTATCCATATTAATTATGATAAGACATTTATCCCCAGTGTATTGGAAACTAAATTTCTTGGTTTGATTATTGATGATATGCTGTCTTGGAAACAGCATATAGATATGGTCACCAATAAAATTTCCTGTGTATGTTCTACACTTAGAAATATAAAATATATAGTATCATTTGAAACTTTAAGGCTAATTTATTTTGCTCATGTACACTCTATTATGAAACTTTAACTGATGTAAGTAAAGAGGTTGGTCTAGAAGTAAACACAGAGAAAACTAAGTATATGTTACTGTCTTGTCACCAAAATGCAGGGCAAAATCGCGACATAAAGATAGGAAACAGATGTTTTGAAAATGTGGCACAGTTCAGATATTTGGGAACGACGATAACAGATCGAAACCTGATTGAGGAGTAAATTAAGAGGAGATTGAACTCGGGTAATGCTTGCTATCATTCAGTCAAGAACCTTTTGTCTTCTCGTCTGTTGTCCAAAAACATAAAAATCAGAATATAGAAAACTATAATTTTGCCTGTGGTTCTGTATGGGTGTGAAACTTGGTCTCTGACATTAAGGGAGGAACATAGACTGAGGGTGTTTGAAAACAGGGTGTTGAGAATATTTGGACCAAAGAGAGATGAAGTGACAGGAGGTTGGAGAAAACTGCATAGTGAGAAGCTTCCTAACTTGTACTCTTCTCCAAGGATAATTAGAATGATCAAGTCAAGGAGGATGAGGTGGGCAGGTCATGTAGCACGAATGGGGGAGACGAGGAATGCGTATAGGATATTGGTGGGAAAGCCAGAAGGAAAGAGACCACAGGGAAGACGAAGGCACAGGTGGGCGGACAATATTAGAATGGATCTTAGAGAGATAGGATGGGATGGTATTGATTGGATAGATCTGGCTCAGGATAGGGACCAGTGGAGGGCTCTTGTGAACATGGTAATGAACCTTTGGGTTCCATAAAATGCTGGGAAATTCTTGAGTAGCTGCAGAATTTGTGGCTCCTCCAGAAGGGCTCAGCTCCATGAGTAAGTAAGTAAGTAAGTACACTCTATTATGAGTTATGGGATAATCTTCTGGGGTGGCTCCTCTTATGCTAAGTAGGTGTTTATTTTACAAAAGAGAATCATTAGAAATATAATGAATGCTAAACCATGAGATTCATGTAGGGAAATTTTTATGAAATTGGAAATAAAGATGTTATATCCCCAGTATATATATTCCTTTCCATTATATACAGTTAATAATAAATATTTATTTAACTTAAATAATGAGATTCATAAATATAACACTAGATTACACAGTAACTTACATGCACCTATAGTGCAGTGGTTCTCAAACTTTTTACCTCTGAGCCCCCCCTGAGAAGAGAAAATACTCTCAGGCCCCCAGCCTGTTTTTTTTTTATCAAAATAGAAGTCATGGTATGTTTGATGTTTCATTCAGTTTATTTTGTGTTTTTCTCCATACTATTTAGCAGTTTTCTTAGTCAAAATTAAAATATCACAATACTAGGCCTACAATAAAAATTAGTTTTAACACTTGCAATTAACCAAAATATGTACTGAAATGAAACGATATTTAACTAACAAGTATTTAATTATTTTCTGCAAAGAGAATCAAACATTTAAATGTCAAAGTTCAGTGTGATGGATGGGCCTGCTTTTGAGAACAAAGTTTGTCAAAACGTGGCATAATATCAGAAATGGCCACTCTAACTTCTTTAGCAATATTTAGCCTTGAACGATACTTTGACTTTATAGCTGCCAAAGCAGAAAAGCCTGTCTCGCATAAGTAAGCTGTTGCGAAAGGAATCAGGATTTTCAATGCTTTTTGGCTCAAAGTTTGCAATTCCGTGCCAATATGTATCCAGAACTCCAGCAAAGACAATTCCTTAAATTTATTTTTAATGAAGTATCACTAGTGAGATCAATGAGTTGTTCTTGCTCATTTACATTCAGAGATGATGGCCCAGGAGCACTTTTGAATGGATTTTTAATCCAATTAAATTCATCAAAATCATTGCAAAAGTATTTTTCAAAATGAACTTTCGACATTATGAGACGGTCAAGTAGGCAGCTTTTTATGTCCATTGGAAGCACTGGAAAATCAGTGTCTTGTACCATGGACACCAGAGTAGGGAACATGTCTAGTGTGTCACTTTCCATACTGTTTCTTCAGAGCTCTAATTTTCTCATGAATGCCTTCATTTTGTCATTCCAAGAAAGTACAGTTGCCTCATTCCCTTGAAGTGAAGTGTTGAGGATATTTAGTTTCTCAAATATATCTGTGAGGTAAGCCATTTTCAATAAAAAATCCTTGTTGCTGAAACTGTCTGCCAGTCAGTGATTTTTCCCATTTAAAAAACAGAACACCTCATGCCTCAGTTTAAACATTCTCTTTAATACCTTGCCTCTTGAAAGCCATCGAGCATTACTAAAAAACAACAGAGCAGTGTGTTCAGCACCCATTTCCTCACACAGCATTTTAAAAAGTATAGACTTCATAGGATTTCAGAGGATGCGGCTGCTGCCGAACTATCAACGCTGTCTCTGGCATACGCGTTTTATAATTGCCAGTAAAGAGAATAATTATTAGTTATTTTGAAATTCATGATAATTAAAACCTGTATTCATCCAAAGTTTTTCTATATGTATTTTTATTTTTTGTTACTTTTCTAATTGATTTAGGGCAGTTTTAATTTTTATCTGTAGGAAAATATGCTGCGCCCCCTTTCAAGCCCTTCGCGCCCGCCCTGGGGGTCGCGCCCCACAGTTTGAGAACCACTGCTATAGTGAATATAACAAAATTTCTCAAAGGAGCGTATACATATATCAGGAATTAAAGTTTTCAATCATCTTCCTCAATCAATAAAAAATTTGGCCAATGATGAGAAATGTTTCAAATCAAAGGTCTCCAAACTACGGCCCGCCATGTGATTTTATCCAGCCTGCGAAAGAATTGTGCAGAAATGCGCCAATTGAACTAATTTTCCAATGAGTACTGGTAAAAAAATACTTGTTCATAGATTTCAAATTCATTAATTAAAATTGTGTTTAAAATATACTGATATTCCATATTATGTTAATATTAATATTATTCACAATTTTACTAATTCTGGACCGTATACTGCGCGGTATTTATTCTTACTTGTTTGTCCTCGATCAGCAGTGTCACTTCGTGACAATGTAGGTAGCGCGAGCAGTTCGTTACTAGCTGTCTTGTGCACAAGTGCAGTGTAATTGTAACAGATCATCACCACCTCAATTTAATCAGATTTTAAGAATGCTAAAAGAGTTCCATCATTCATATTAATTGTTTTATTATAATTTGTGATGAAAATATGAGCATTTGCTGCTACTGTCTGTTGTCATTAATATACGATAATTTATTCTCATGTACTTTGTATTTAGTTTATGAAATTCTGTGCTTTCAATAAAACTCATATACCTAGGAGTTATTAATTTCTCATTTTATCCAGCCCGTTGAAAGTGCTGAATTACCTAATGTGGCCCGCGTTTCGAAAAGTTTGGAGACCCCTGTTTCAAATTCATATCGAAGAGGTTTTTGTATCATCATCCTTTTTATTCTATAAATAAATATTTTTAATACAAGGATGACAAAGATCTTCATACTTTTTGTATGGTTTTTAATGTGTAACTTATTATGTTGTTTTAACCTTTGTCTTTGCTGTCATCTTGCCTGACAGGTGTACATTTTACTGGATTTGAGGTCCTCAGCTGATTGCCTGTATTAATAAGTAACTGTACTAAGACCAAAAAATCTATAACGTCATCTTCAGTTATTTTATCTCATAAGATATATGTAATTACCATATTTTATATTTGTATTTGTTAATTGAACTTTTAGTATACTTTAATTTTGAAATTTTGTGAAATGTATATGTTATTGTTGTGTTGTGTTAGCTTTTATGGGTTGTAATTCAATCGATTATAACTTAAACAGTTTCCACTTTTTTGTGGTTTGATTATCACTATGTATAATTTCATTTTATGACTGTTCTGTATGTGACTCAGTTCTATTTTATGAACTGTTTCTGTGTATGTTTTGATTTAATAGTGACTTATTCTACATCCTGGGCTTGGTCAAAAAGGATTTATTGAATTTAAAATAAAGAATAATAAAGTGGAACATAGACCCAAGGAGTAAGCATGTTAACTAATAACTTATGTTTCCCTCTCAAATAAAACTGATTAGTAACAATATCAAGAATCTGAGAAGCTGGATTTGATCCTAAGGCCATACATTCAAGAGACCATGAGATTAACCTGTATTAAGGACATGGAAGTATTTTATGATGCTGTGGCCCCTAGACCATACGGCACTGAATGGTAGGCTGTCTGATGAACTGGAAATGATTTGGAAGGAAGCAATTGTGGTCCACTCAAGGTACTGTCCTGGCATTTCCCTTGGACTGAGGAAAAACATCACTTAAAGTAACAGTCGTGACATAACTGTGTAACTGGATGGAAGCGTATGAAACTCCAAATTGGCTTTAACGAATTCTGCCTGGAGCTTATTTTTTTTTTTTACCTAGTAAAATTACTGGATGTAGGTGGTACGATTGCCGTACATTTACCACGAACATTACAGCTTTCGGCACATCCACAAAAGTAATGTTTCTTGCTGAATGTCATTCTAGTCAATTTGGTCTCAACAGGTTATTGCCGGCAAGTTTCAAGAGCGAACACTCCAGTTATCAGTAGACGCAGTATTATTACCTCTGCATACAAAAAAACTATTACAATATGTCCATTATGCTGTGAATACCTTGGTGTATTAGGCAACAAGTAGAAACATCGTTAGAGATATAACTTCACATTTCCTCATAACAACTCTTCCTTCCTTCAAATTAACCAGAATACAACACAACAGTGCAAAATATCCCATACCCATCCAAAAGTTTACTTCTTCGTTGTCCCGTTAGCTATTCTCCGTGGGAATGGGGCTATTTTTCATTTCCCGATTTTCTAACTCTAGATCCTCTAGATCCAGTTGTTGAATTATGCAGGGGAAACGTGGAAAAGAGGTCCAAATTATTTCAGTGGTAGGATCTCCAACGTCTTCATTTCACCGAGACAGTGTTTCCACGTCGAATTTCACATACAGGCAAATTATATTGTACCATCAAAGATTAGGTCCGGTTTAAGTGCGAGGGGGGGGGGACCGGGGTCACCATAAAACAGAAATAGAATCCACAGGATTCTTTGAAACGCTTGCTTCTGTAAACTCACGAAAAGTTAATTTTTATTTCGAACTATATGAAATAAAGCGGGAGGGATTTTTATAGCCTAAATTTGTTGTTACTGATAGAAGCCTCCACATTTTGATCGCCTCTGTGAGGCGATGAGACCCTGGTCATAGCATCAAATGAGACACCTGGAGTCGCCATGCTCAATGTTTCAGTCAATAAATCGGGATTTTCCAAAGAACCAGCATCAAAGTCAATGTTATTCATGCAGACAAAAAAGTGAGACGTGAGAATATGTAGAACAGCATATTCGTCTTTGGAGATATTAGGCGTGTTAATGCACCCAGGTAGAATCAAACGCACCAGTCTTGGATCGAAATTGCATTCTTCCTTCAAATATTTAATGGCAAATGAAAGGTAGCCAAGCTGGATTCTGTACCTGCAGTTGTCACGGTAATTTAACTACAAAGCAAATGAGAAGGATCCCTTTCTCCAATATTGATATGCAATAAAGGATAAAGAACACAAAACTGTATACTGTAAATTATTATGACGGTGACCAGACACAGTTTCAAGTATTTTGCTGTAAGTGCACTGTTATGTTCCAGAAGCTGACATGTCATCAGAAACACAAGCGAAGTTGGAGACGTAAATAAGGCCCACTTCATAATTAAGAACTGAACTTCAGAAAAACAATTATTGTTGTGAAAGATGGTTCTGCAGTGGAACTCGCTTGCTTTATGACAAATCCAGTAACAAGAGCAATTGCTATAAATTTGGAAACTGGGTATTCCAAGTTGGAGTATACTTCAGCACAATTTTTTTTTTCTGTGCAGGCTCCTTTGTGAGGAATCAATTCATGCGACCCAAATTTATAAAGTGTCACGTTGTTGGGAAGCTAAGACATGGATATGGAAAGATTTTAGTTTGCAATGACCTACCAAGAACAGCACATCATGTTACATCGTCCATACATTTAAGTCTGTTCTGTATAATACTCGTATATGTGCAACGGTACTTATTCAGAAACATCAAACTAAACATCATGATAGTGCACAGGGAAGGTCTATTTCAAATGATCCAATTAAATAAGAGGCAATGTGCAGATAATATTGACCCACAAAATAACATTTGCATATGCTTAGAGAGGTAGAAGAAACCTGAGAAATTGTCAAGTTGATTTAGGGTGGGGGCACACCAAGGAAATTGGCAACCACAACGTAACCGCAATTTCCGAGAACTGCTATCAGCCTTAGTTGAACACATGTTACTGCATGGAGCTGCGCAAATTAAGGAAACGGCAACGCAACTCGAGGGAAGAATGAGAAACGCGATTTCCAGGCAACGCAGCATGGTAGTCTTCTCTCATTTGCGCTGCCGCGTAGTTTTCTAGCTCCAACTGTTCTATAGCGCGCTTCAGCGATTCATTTGTCTCTTAAGATGGCACGAAAGGTTGACGAAGCTGCTAATTTTGTTTTTATGCAGTTAACTGAGCAAGAGACTGGTATATATGACAAACCCCACCTGGACTATTCTAGGCAGAAATGAATGAATGTATAAGGGGTGGGCCTTCTCGGCCCTTGCACCGCGACCTACAGTGATCTATTGTGCTTCCCTTTTGATTATCCCCTCAGCAATCCTGCGCTTCGAAAGAAGCGTAGAATTTTGTACGTGGGAGCGTCGAAATAGTCACTTGGTTCCATAAGGTATTGATCCAAGTGACGTAATCTTAAGTAAGCTAAGGCCTCACATTCACACAGGATATGTGTGGCGGTTTCATTTCCTTCTTGACACCTCTCACAAGTGGGACTATTATTTAGTCCCAGTTTGAAGAGGTGTTCTTTAACGTGGTAGTGTCCTGTAAGTAGTCCCATCACCCATCGTAGCTGGTTCATGTTTAACTTCAAGAGTTCGGTTTTTTTTTTATTTGCTTCATTCTGGCCCGTCACACTAACAATTACAAAGGCAAAACTAAATACCGTCTAATGTGACTATTTAAGTTTTATCACTTGAGTATTTATTTCCCTTACATGTTTCGATCCTTACGGATCATCCTCAGAGGGTATCAATACTTTCGGAAACTACTATTACAATAGATGTTAATTGTATGGATACACATATGATGTCTAAAATGCACAATATAGGCAATGTTCAAACTTCCACATTCACAGCGGCCTTCTTGGTGTTAAAACTTTTTAAAAAAGTTTGTTTTAAAAAACTTTCAAGATCAAGTTTACATTTTTTTATGAACCACACAGGTTCGCGTCAATTCTCCTATTGTTATTCGCGGAGGTGGCTGGTCCTGTGTCGCCTGTTTATCTTGCGAAAGGAGATTCTTAGTACTTCCGTGTTTATTCGTGCCCTGCTGTGTTGTTTACACTGAGTGAATGTGGAAGGTTGAACATTGCGTATATTGTGCATTTTAGACATCATATGTGTATCAATACAATTAACATCTATTGTAATAGTAGTTTCCGAAAGTATTTATACTCTCTGAGGATGATCCGTAAGGATCGAAACATGTAAGGGAAATAAATCCTCAAGTGATAAAACTTAAATAGTCACATTAGACGGTATTTATTTTTGCCTTCAAGAGTTCCTTCGCCATCAAATACACAAATCATCCAAAGGCTACAGTCCAGAATTCTACGAACAATCACCAACGCACCCTGGTACGTCTCCAATCGGACGCTCCACAACGATCTGCAAGTCCCATACGTAACAGACGAGATACGAAGATTAGCTCTACTCTACAAACAACGACTACAAGGACATGACAACAGATTAATTGAAGAAATAAGAAACCCTCCCAACGTTGTACGGAGACTGAAGAGACAGTGGCCATCCGACCTTCCGAAAAGACAAAATTAGGTTAAGCAATAAATTCTAGCATCAATTGTGTTTAAGAGCATCGACGCTGGTTGATTCTCTACTCACGTTCCTACTTTTAACCAATTTACTTATTGCTCCTTACTGTAGTGAGTAGATTGTAAATTCGCAGAGAAATAAAAAAAAAAAGAGTTCCTTCGCTCTTTTAGCAGAGGGTCCTCGTATGAGTCCCTGTTGCTTGCCTGAGTCCAGTCAAGGATTCCCAATATTTCCTGTGATTCTTATTTGTCCACTCCCTGATTGCCCTTCTGGCAAATCCCATAGAGATGCCAGAGGCTGATTCAGTGCTAGACAGGACAAAATAGATTTGGCTTGGGAAAGAATTTCTCATGAGACGAAGGAGTCTGAATCCAGGTTAAGTTCTTTCGAAACAATATAAGCGCCTCGGTTTAAATTGTCACAGAAGAACAGATGCGCCAAATGTTTTCTTTTCCTAATATTGCATTTAAGCTTCCTGTTGCGATAATATATCATTTATTTCATATATATTTCCGTCTTAAATGCAACGTATTACTCGTACATAGTCATCCTTCTTCCACATTACATGTCGGCTGTATACGGCCGTCATCAGATGTCTTCTGTTTTGCTAAAATTGTTGCAGTGTATCTCAAAATTTCGTATCGCGCGTGAACGCGATATTTCCTGATTAAAATAATTTACTTAAATTAAAACAACTTCACAATATTTTCCTTATGGTCGTCGTCCTCTCTTCTCACAACGACTCAACCGGTCTCAACTACCACCATGTTATGACAAGACCAATAATATTATCTTCCATTGGCGAAGGTAAGTGCAAGAAATTAAAAAATACCATCATGCATTACGTCGGGCGAACATACCCACTTAAGATGATGTGAGCAACTAATCAAACATAGGTTTCCTCAGTCTGCGCCTGCTAATCTGGAAACCAGTTGCCTGCTTTAAATCAGCGACTTGTCAGGGAAATTGCGGTTGCGTTGCAGTTGCCAGTTTCCTTGGTGTGCCCTCGCCCTTAGAGTTCTGAACCTAGTAGAGGTTTCAAGGCGTTCTCTAGTCGTCGAAGAATAGGACAAAAAAGAATGAGAATAAAAATAATAAGGTAGAATTATATTTCCCCAAAAGAGCGAGATTCAAATGGGTTCAATTTTTGGTGCATCAGAATCTAATTCGAACGAATAACTGTTCAGAACACAGAACGAACTACTTCAAGTACCTCTAACAATAACTCGTAGGCGATCCAGTTTTAAGTGTTACTGGTTCTTACATAACTTGTACTGAGAATGTTTTGTGATTTTTGGACCAAGTTTCTATGCCTCTCAGATGATATGAAAAATGTAGCAGTGAATATTTCCGAATTAAATTCAGTTTAATTATGAACAGAACTTACAGAACTCAAGGGTAGGTATAATTGTTTCATATACCGGTATTCTGGACGATTGACATAGAACACAGTTAAAAAAAAACTTGTAACTGCTGCGTGAAGAGACCACTCTGAATGGCGAATAACATTAAAAATATGTAGTTGCTGAATCACGTACGTATTCACTTATCAGACAAGGACGATCCTGACAGGTGGCGCTGTCCACAACATATTGCGTGATGTCCTTGAAGAAGAAAAAGTGCTTAACCATTTGTACTCTAAACTTCATTTAGTATGCGTGCTTTCTCTTGTTTGCATCCACGATAGCTTAAACGTAACTTCAAATAATGAACACCTCAGATAATTTGGATGCAAGAGAAAAAAGATATCCTCTCTCTCTCTCTCTATTTTTTTCACTTTTAACTAGGTTTGTTAATTCGAAATGTACTCAGAATAGAAGAGGTCACGGTTCTGAGGACAGAAATCCGGCCCGTATGATCGAATGACTCATATTTCTGACGTTGAATTGCTAACAACACGAGATTAGAAATAAATTATTGCAATCGGTAATTCGATACTGAAAGTATCGTTTCAAAGAAACACCGAAGGTGTTTCTCTTATTTCTTCTCAGGATGATGTGAAACCGAGGTCCTTGGTATTTAGGCCGTAAATGACCCAATATCGGCCCCGGGTGATAAATGAGAGAATTGGAACATCTGGGGGAATGAGAAATGGAAAGGGTATTCAAAGAACTCGAAAAAAAAAAGCCATGATCCAGTGCCACTTTGTCCACCACAAGTCCCAAATGAACTGACCTGGGACTGAAAGTGGACTGTCGTGTTGAGAAGTCGTCAATAGAGAACTTATGTGTCCTTGTGTAGATTTGTATGAACAGTTTGTCTTACGGAGTGATATTGTTCGAATTTTACTTGCTTCTTCGATTCATTGCTTGTTCGTTCTTTTGTTTCTTTTAATATTTATTTTCTAAACTAATCTCCGATAATAACAATTACAATGTTAGCTCATCAATAGATCTTAACTTAGAGTTCTATGTTCTGAGATATAACGCCGGATAAAAGTAAAGTTGTCCCTGTACTTAACTAATTAAGCACTACGCTATGAAGGCGTATGAGGGAATGGATGTATAGATCCATATTTTCTTGACCTCGACACTATATGGAGGTGAGAGGTCAGCTTCACGCTCCTCTTTACTCCCGTTGGAATGAGCCTCCAGTACCCATTGCATAGGAGGCTGGGTGGGCCCCCTGGACGACGTGGAGAAGAGAAAATTCTTGACCCTACTAAGACTCGAACTCCGACACCTCCGTCGTCCAGCCTGTAGCCAGTCGCTATACAGCCTACGCCATCCCCGCTCCCTATAACGCCGGGTAGTCCGCTGAAAGTCAATCGGGGTTATATCCCAGAAGACAGAACTCTTCGTGACCACCGCAGTGAGAACTTCAAATCCTGCATAGATCGTAACAGTATTTTTGAATTCTGCCTCTACATATATGCCAAGAAACCTTAAAGAAGTACTAAAATGTTACTTTCATATTGCTGAATATAGGCTACGGAATTTACATCACTGTGTTCGTATTATCAAGGATGCTGTACATTTCGGACAGCTACAGATCCAGGGGCGCGCATTATCTAACGACGGCTTAACACGACTTCTTCTTGTGACTTTGCTTGCAAATTAATGTGACTAGACGTCTCTAAATTTCTTGGATTTTGGTATACACACTGCTGCGAAATTAAAAAAAAAAGGCGAATTGTAAAATGCAATATTTTTTAATCCTGGAAATATAATTTTAGACTCAAGATACATAAAACTGTTCTGTGGCTGACTGTCAGTCAAAAGGTAGGCTACTCCATTATGAACGCTAAATTTTCTCTGAAATTTTGGTCGCACAATCATGTCATAATGGGACAAGACGCAATTGCAGGGGTAATGAATATACTTACAACTTTAACTTAGAACATTTTCATATTCAGTTAATATTTATTGAATTACAAGGAGACAAAATTTGTATTGTCTCCCTCAAGCGTACAGATTATACTGCTGATAACTCCAATTTGGATCAAAATCAAGTCCACTCATTTACTTCAGCGTAAACACTGAACGTCAAATTTCATCGAAATCCATCCAGTAGCCATGTAGAAGGGATGGATGAATTACACACGTAATATTATACAGAAGCGAGCCAGGTAGCTCAGTCGGTACAGCTAAGGGCTAAGGGCTTGGACGGCAGGGGTATGATTTTTCTCTTCTCCACAATGCCGAGACCGGCTATGGGGCTCACCCAGCCTCCTATCCAAGGGGTACCGGGCGTAAGGCGGCCGGAGTTTGAAGCTGACCATTCACTTCCACCTAGCCTCGAGGTCAAGCATGGTGGGGCTGTACCTCCACTGCCCCATATGTCTTCATAGCATAGTGCTTAATTTAAAAAGCACAGGGACAACTTTACCCTTGCCTGACATTTTACAGACGTATTTTCAGTTCTATACTGACTGCCTTTCACACTCAGATGTCCTGAAGCACTACTGTCGTATGCAGAACACCACTTAGATACCCCTAAAATTTCACTGCAAATCAATAAATATATCTGCATGATCTGAGTAGACCAACTACACGTGTGACTTTTTCTTTTTGCCCATACTATTTACAATTAATATAACTCTGTAGACTAACCATAATGAGGTCAGAAACGGGAACCCTATTTAATTTACATTTTACTCAGGATCACGATAAATATATTGCAACTCTCATCTCAGCGCTCCTTGCCCTTGGATGAAAAGGTAGAAACAGCGAAATTAAGTAACTTATTTTGCAACATGGCTATTAACTTACGTTTGGTTTGTATTAAAAATTAGCCTTAAAACAGTCCACGCAGTGGTTTTTACACTGGCGATCTTAAGAGTATCCGCGGTCTGAGGCGTACACTACCGTTAGAAAAACTGGGATCGTGGGTTCGAATCCCGTTCAGAGCACGGATGTACAAGGGCTGTGATGCCTTGCAACGGGCCGATCCCCTGCTCAAGGAGTCCTACCGAATGTCTATACCCGGTAGACGGGAGGACTTGACCACATTGTTCTGTCGACATAGACAAGAAAATTAAGGTTGTTAGGTGATGCCTTCCTATGGTGCTTAATTTAGTAGCTCTCCTAACGGTTTATTGTCGCCACAAACTTTTAGTTACTATCATAACATTTTCTTTGACGTTGATATAATAAAGTGGTAACGGTAACATGCTTCAGCACTATGACATGAAGACGTGTGGGCAATATAATGCAGTGGCCAGCTCCATGCTTCGGCATCTACAACCGCAAGATACGACTAAGTTATTGTCTGTTCGTTACGAAGCTGTGTGGGGTCGGGACTAATACAGACTTGGTGCCGAAGACAGAATTTCGAGCTCTGCCGGAAATTAATTCTAATTATTCAGACCTTAGCCAGTCACTTTTCTAACTAAGCAGAGTGGAAAACTATCGTCAAAGTGAGAAATAAACAGTTCTGCTATTAGAATTATGGGACCAGAAGGCCAAGATCTAGATTTTGGTTGGTTTCCTGAGCTACATCCTGAACCTGCACAGTTATCTGCATATAACTTAAACGATTTTATCACTCTACAGCGTTGGGATCCAGCACATATTCTAGAATCATCCTTCCCCTTGTTTTACTTTGGACTGCTCGTGGCAGAACTTTGTCCTTATTTTTAGCTTCATTTTCTTGTGTATGTGTTTTAAATGCATGTGTAGGAATCTGTTTAGCACTGTCGCGGAAAACCAAACTAGTCTTTTTAATTCACATTTACCTACCATCTTCAGTAGATAATTCAGACGACTGCCTCTGGACCTAGGCATCGGTTTATGACGTCAAGTGTAAAACTTTTCCAGTCACATACCACACACGTGTTTGTTCCCAACCACGTGCTAAAAACGTGCTTCTTCATCAAGCTAGCCAATCATATTACTCGAGAGAGACCACTGGGTGGGGTAGCTGCCGGTTGCGATAAAACAAGCAGGCTTCTAGAACATTCGAGAGCTGCTTGACGGGCTATAATTAGTGTTAAAAGGTAAGACTCATCGAACAAGCTGTGCATATATATATAAGACGTTTCACTTACAGAGGCGGCATTGTTGAAGTTATTGATTTCTGCTACGAGTGTGCAAGAAGGCGCATCTACAGCTATTCGTATTGATTATTGATCTACTGTAGAACTTGATATCTTTTATACGCTACCACATTAAAGCAATTGTTACGTGTTCATCATAATCTGATATTTTGGTACGTGTATTGTAATGAATTATTAATTTTCTATTAAATTACAGAAATACCATATACTAAGAAATTCGTGCCTTTTGCAGGTGAAGAAATATTAATAACCCGAAGCAGCAATGGCATCAAAGGGTGTTTTTCTTGTTAACAGCCCAAATATTAAGTATAATAATGATTTCATTGAAGCAGATTATGATTACCAAACTACGAAAGTTGAGTCCAATGGCGATGTACTTATGGTAAGCTCCAGTTCGTTTTCCTTTTCAGCTTTTGGCAATGTTTACTTAAATGTAGATGTTTCTAAGTACGTTTTTGTGAAACTTAAAACGACGAACAAGGCAGTTAATAGCTTTGTGGTTTATATAACGATGCTGTCAGTAGCTCAGTAGCGTCGACTGTAGGGTGATTGTGAATAATGAATTTGAAAGACCAAGGAACGGTCATGGATACATTTGAGGTACAGCAAAACCCCACGAATTTGGTCTGTCCACCATTTTTTGTGTGTAATTTTGTTTATGCAGAGCTCCGAATTTTCATTGACGAGAATTTAATGACAGTCTTGCCCTGTCTTTTGGATGCGGAAATGGTAACTAATTTATATCGAAAATGGGACAAATTTAATTTTGTCGTAGAGTTTTTATGTCCTAATACCATCGAAGTAGTAGCATATCGCTGGATTGTGAATGAATTTGCGTTTTAGGAATAATCATAGAATTTTATTTAAGAGTTTTCACCAATCCAGATTACCCCTTTTCCCCCCTACGCATCTGAATTGGTGAGGTTTTACTGTACTGTCAAGTCATTTGCCCAAAGGGACTGCAGAAAACTACAAAAAGCATCGATCAGAATAGCTGGTCTCTAGGACGAGATTTGAACCTGGAACCTCCAAAATATGAAGCAGGAGTGATATCCACTTGATAACGCATTCGGTAATAAGGTACTGTCATAATTTTCTTATATGGATGTACATTTATAATATATTTTGAATGGAGGATTTTGAATGATGGACAGAGTATGTAGCATGTGATAGATGAGAAAGATAAATATTTTAATCAGAAGAAATGACTAGGGAAACGTAAGTATAAATGGGAAGACCCTATTAAAGTGGGTCTTAAGAAATTGGGTTTGGGTATGTAAATCGGGTTTATGGGTCAGAATAGGACCCAGTGATGGTATCTTGTGAACATAATGAATACCTTGTGTTCCATACATGGCTATGAAGTTTGTGACTAGCTCAGCAACTATTAGTTTCCAATAAAGATTGCTGCATGGAGTTCCAGGTAAGAAAATAGAATAATCAAAAATATATCACACACACACACACACACAAAACCCACCTATATTTGCCAGGTACATGGAATATAGAAGGGTGAGTCAGTAAATAGGTCACAAATGGAAGTTGAACAACTGTAATGGAAGTATTAGGTCTTCTATGTGTATCATTATGTAGCAGCATGGTCCCGCTTCATGACAGTCTGGGTAGCGGATGAGCATGCGCACATTCAGAGACTAGTTTCAGTAGTCTAATTGATGACCATAATTGAAGTGTGTACTACCGAAGAGCAGACTTTCTTGTTGGCAGAAGGACTCACTGCAAAAGATATTCATAAAGAAAGGGTTCCTGTTTTGGTGCAAAATGCTTGTTACTTAAAGTAGTTCACAGCTGGGTAGAGAAATTCTCTTGAAGTACAAAAGTCACACATGATGCCTGACAAGGTGCAGGAGTGGCTGAGAGAACAGCAAAAGACTTTATGTGCTGCGGGTTTTGATGCACTGGTAAAGTGATGGGACAAGTGTATGAATGTTGGTGGAGAAAATGTCGAAAAATAAATGTTTTTTCCATGTTTGAATATCACGTTTTATGTTTTATATCCGTTTGTGGTCTATATACAGAATCTCCCTCACAATAGACTTATGCAATACTGCACTTTGCATGAACCTTGCCTAGATTTCAAATTAATATTACATTCATGGTATTATATTACCTGAACTGAAACATATGCTTATAGGCAGTGTATTTAATTTCCACAGTCCTGGTTCTCTGAATTTTGGAAAGATTTCATTGATTTTATTTCCATTGCCATTAGTACTTCATATGGAGATTATTTAACCCCTTCTCGCTTAAAAGAATTCTTCTTTTACATAGCTTCCTGGCCTTCATTTCACATTGAAGGTCCATAAAAGCTAAATAACAGAACAGTATGATTTCTTCAGTTTTCTTCCATGAGTTCTCCCTCACCATTCTAAGTACTTAAAAATATTCTCACAGCAAAGTACATGGATTGTCACTTGGAAGTTTTTGTTAAGTTTAATCAGTGCACATGGAAAGTTCAATCTATGACTGAGTGGTACAGTTTCACTGATATGAAGATTTGCTTCCCATAGAATATACAAACACAAGAGGCGTTTGAAGCATAAAATGAGCATTGCCATTAGTATGTATTTATATTGTTGCCATTAAAATTGTTAATGATTAATGACAGTATTGTAGGAAAAGGTAAAAGGATTGAGCTGGGTATCTGATATGAGATAAGCTTCAGAAGTGGGACACTGTGTATGAATATAATGACTAATCTGTTAGCTTGAATTACCAGATTTAAATGTTCTCATGGCCATCAGTCTGGCTCTGGGACACACCCAGTCTTCTAACCAATGGGTGCCAAGTGTTCTCACATGTGGGTAAATTAGATGAGACATCAAGGATAATGCTCACCTTCATCCAGATGTGAGTTAAGAATGTGTTGACTCCCACAGGTCTTCATGGTGTGGTGTATAACTAAGCACAGTGATAACTTTACTTGAGGTTACTAAAACTGCTGTTCAGTTTTTATTTATTGTATCTAAGATGTGCTCTGAAGGCTCACAATGAATTTGGAGAAAAGTATGGAAATGCTTTTTATTATTCTGTTAAAAACTATAATCTGTTCTTTTAATGCAGTAGCTTGAGGTAATTATTGCCTGTAAGGGTGTGAAGCATAGGCGTGTATGGGAAGAATGTAATACAAGTGTCTGAAAACAAACTGCTTGGGAAAGTACTTGGACCTAAGTGAACAATTTAGGATATTAGATAACAGTTTATACAGGTCATCTGATATTGTTTTTAGAATGATGTCTAGGAGGCTACAATAGGGGAGCCATGTGATGCATACAGAAATCTGATGGAGAAACTTCTTCAAAAAAATGGCCACTTGGAAGACCAAGAAAGAGATGGGAGGAATACATTAAGATGCACCTTAGCTAGTAGAATGTGATGGTTGGAGGTGGGTGGAAATGGCCCAGGATGATGTCCAGTGGTGGCCTCTGGTGGTAGTAGTAGTAGTAGTGTAAAGATGTTGGATCCTGCTGTCAGTGCTCAGAAGGTCTCGGTGGAAGCAAACATTTGGTTCTGTTCCAGTTTTTAAATTATCCATCGCTAATAACGAAGAAAAGATTGGTTCAGTTGAAATGGTATTAAATGATATTGTGTCAGCTGCAGAGATTAAGTAGTGTGACATGAAATGTGAAAATTGTTTGGACCGTGAATTGGAAAGGATGAGGGAGGAGATTCACCATCGGTGAACTACTGGACTGTGTGGCATCACAGTCCTGAAGATAGTATTCTTCGTAGTTATTACTATGAGAATGCTAGATCCAATATTCTTATTTCTATCTAACTGTTCATTTAAGAGTAGGATATGATTATGTACAGCTAAAAAAATAACAGGCTGGAAATAAAGTTCAGTTTGTTTTTTATTTCATTATTAACTTTGTTTTGTCCCCTTAATAGCTGTGTCTGTTAATGTAATTCAAAATATTAAATTCTGATGGGTGGACAGAAAGATGGTAAACAAATGAGAGCAAACACATCACATACACATTGTTTCATAGCGTGTGAGAGTGTGTGTGTATTATCACGTAGTAATGAAGATAAAGGCATTACCCAGAATGTAATATCCAAAAAGTATTATACATGCTTTTCAATTTAAATGTTCTCAGTGTGTTGTTTGAATGGTCTGCAGAATGACGTAAGACACTTTTAATCTTAGCATGCTTTAAATTCTCATCTAACAGACCCTTTAAGAGAAAATTCTTTCTGGGACTGGGAGCATAAGAACTCATTACGTTTATAAAAGGTGTTATTTATGGGTTATTTAACAATACTTTCAGTAGCTTAGGTTACAAAGGTAAAGTAATGATCAGAAATGAATAGAGAAGTCTATGGAAGTGGTTGTAGCCTAATCAGAGGTTCTAGTCCCTTGGAGAGAGGTAAATATGAAAAACTGGTAGGATAGCTAGTCTCTAGGCCGAGATTTGAACCTGGAAACTCCTGAATATAAAGCAGCAGAGATCCCTGCTCAGGTCACAGCATCTGGTTACAGATGTGTTTGTAGATATATAAATTTTTTCTATGATGCCATGTATTTGGAATCAGCTCAGTAAGTGCTGTTATCATATGAAATGTTCTCATATTGGTGAGTATTAAAATTATATCCTTGTGGGATGTTGCACCATGCAGTTTGGTAGATACAGCCTGCTGCCTCCATCTTCAGGGCAGAAGCGTTTGTGAGAAAAGCTGCTTCTACCAGAAAATGGAGGCAACAGATTCCCCTCAAGCATGATATCTATCACACAACATGGCATTGCATCCCAGCAGATCATAAAGTGTCCACTGGCTGTTTATGTACAAACTGAAGTTTATGCTTACATTAATTCTGCAAGGGTGACAGATGAGCTTAATCACATCTTAATCAGTGTGTCATATTCATGTACTGTGATTTTGATTTCTGGAGAGAGAAATGTTTGCAAGACAGTATCAAGTGGAACATGTATTAACTGCAACAGAATGTATAAACACATTAATTTGAAGTAAAGAAATTGTTCTGAAATTCGAAGTGTTCGCATGTACAGTTTATGCCTCTGTGCTTGTTGTGACAGTCTCCATCATTATCATTTTTGCTTCAGAAATAACTTAAGTGTGCTGCATTATATAGTTCAGAAATTTTCATGTTATATAGCTGTGCATGTTGAACCCAGATTAAACCATTAAGAAAACAGATTCAGGTAAGTAAACTTAGTGAATATCATGATCAGATACCTACAAATGATACATAAAAAGCATGTTCATGATGAGGACTGCATTTATAATATTCTTACCATTATGGAGTATATATATATTTTTGGTACAATAGGCCAGAAGTGGCCGCAGTACAAGGGACTTAGTCCCACACCACTAGCATATACATTTTCATTTGCCTGCCAAAACGTTTAAGTTCAAAACACAGAAAACTGTAATTTTCTCCATAACTGTGTGATTTTAATAGTTGGTCACTCTCTTTGAAAGCTTACACCCTTGACATGATATTGTATAGGGCAATTAATTATTGATGCTGCAGTGCAGAGGGGATACATGGAAGGACTTTATTTTGGAGATAAGTAGATGACTTTAGTACTAAAAGGAGCCAGGATAGTGTAGTCGGTATAGCAGCTGGCGATGGGCTGGGCAATGGAGAGATCGGTGTTCAAGTCCCAGTAGGGTCAAGAATTTTCTGCATGTCGTGTAGCCTTTTTTTTTGGGGCCCAACCAATTTCTTATCCAATGGATACCAGAGGCCCTTTCCCTGGGGGTAAAGTGGCTGGAGCGTGAAACTGACCACTCACTGCCAACTGGTGCCGAGGTCAAGAAAATATGGATCTATACATCCACTCCCATGTACGCCTTCATGGCGTAGTGCTTAGTTAACTGTAGGGACAACTTTGCCTCTTTACCTTTAGTACTAAAATGGATCTTTGGAAAAGGGTTACTCTCTGACTTGTCTTGTGGTTGAGCAAGATACGTGAAAGGAGAAATATGTGGTAGCATTTGCAGAATGACACAGTGGTTGAAAATAGGATGGCTCATTTTAGGCATGTGGTGACATCTACAGTAACATGGTGTGGATTGGAGTAATGTGGCTAATTTTAGAATCTGGTGGTAGACTTTGTTGTTGTAATAACAAACCATGTGATACATTCTGAGAGGTACGCTCATCTATAGCAGAGCACATTGGTAAACTTATGAAAATCAAAACACATTGACACAAGGTCTCCATCCTCCACAGATGTCCATTTTGCAAGGTCCTGCTACAAAGAACTATATATGGTTTCAAGGGTGATAAGCAAAGACATATTAAGCTAAGTTCTACGGAGCTGTGTACTCTACTGAGGACTACCTTGAATATGTGCAGACTATGTCTATTACCACACAAGAGTTCAACACTGTTAACACAAAATCACCACTCTGGATGCAGTTTAGTTCAACCCATATTCAACCTGTTTCCCCAAGACACATTTTCATATTCTCTGATATCTCTTTGATCTTTGAAGACGCTTCTGCAACAGAATTTATCTGTGTTGACTACATGTACAAACCACTGTAACCCTGTGACCTTGGTACAATAGGCCAGAAGTGGCCGCAGTACAAGGGACTTAGTCCCACCCCACTAGCAATAAAAAAAAACCCTGTGACCAGGTTATTTTAAAAGTACTGGGAGAAGAGTATAATTCACAAGAGTTCTTCCTTCAGCAGGTTTCTTCTTTCCCTATTTATCTCCCTTATGCCCCTTTTCTTAGCACATTATCTGCATGTCGTTTTCTAAGTTCATTAAATTATAAAGAAGAAAGTGCTATATCTTGAATGAATGAAGTGTAATACGTTTAACATGAGGATACTAAAAAGTACTATATCATATTAATTCAAACAGGCAACTCCAGTGACAACAAAGTTGCATATCCGAACTAAACGTCAAGTTCCTAAATTGGGACTCATGCTTGTTGGGTGGGGTGGAAATAATGGCTCCACTGTCACTGCAGCTCTTCTTGCAAATAAGTTGCAACTCAGCTGGGAAACCAAAACAGGCACGAGGAAGGCTGACTGGTAAGATAAGCTACTACGTTTATGTTGAGAAGTTGAAATTACATTAACATTACTAGCATCCTGCAAGACTCATGTGATATCATGTAAGTCTGAAAATATGTATGAAAAGAGTACTGACTCTAGGGACCAGAATAGTTTTTGAGAAGGTTTAGTCAAGAAATTCCCTGCCTTGCATGGGACCTGAGCCTGATTACACCAGATGAATCCAGTTCACATCCTCACACTGTATTTAGTATCCATTTTAATATGACCCATCTATGCCTGGATATCCCAAGAGATCACTTCTGTCTTAGTCCTCATCACAATCTGATATATCTCTGATGTCTTTTGGTACTCCAAAACCTTGCAGTAAAAGTAATGAATATAAAATTTCAGAATCAATAATGTCTACATTACTGTTGCCTATCTGCAGGTATGGATCCATCACACAAGCCTCTACAGTTCGCTTAGGTACTGGAGTGAATGGGCAAGATGTTTACATCCCCATGTCCCAGTTCCTTCCAATGGTGAATCCTGATGACATTGTTGTGGATGGCTGGGACATATCATCAATGAACCTGGCCGATGCCATGAAAAGAGCTCAAGTGCTTGATATAAATCTTCAGCAACAGCTTCGTCCTTACATGCAAAATATGAAGCCACGACCCTCCATCTACTTCCCAGACTTCATAGCTGCAAATCAGGTAATAAATCTTAGGGAAAGAAAATGTTTAATAAAATACATATATTAAAAATTTTGGCTTGACATGAAGAGAAATCACAAGAGCAAACCTAGAGTAGTGTTCTCTTCTACTGTGCTCCAACACTCAAGAGTATATAAAAAATGTAGGCTTTGAGGTTCTCACAGTAGTAAGTATGAAGACTTCTATCTTATGGAATATAATGCTGTGTAGTCCATTGAAAGTCAACCAATGTCTCAGAGGAACACTGTTTGAGAGAAATATGTTTTAAGAGTTGTCTTTTAGATTATAACATCATGTAATGCAGTGTAAGCTAACTGACATTTTGGAGGATGATGTTGCTACCCTCTGCTTGCTACTCACTTCATGCTGGTTTCTTAGACCCTGAAGGTAGAGGTGACATGTTCCTTCAAAACATTGTTGACATTTAGTGGACTGTACAGCATTATAACCCAGTAGAGCTCTTCCATACAGAGAAATATTTCACAGAAAGAACAAATTATTCTGTATGACATACACAGACATGACTTTACTGACTCTACTAAGACAGTATTACAACCATTCTTCAAACGTTTCCTTGCTGTCCTTCCCTATCAAAACATGTACTTTAACCAGACATATCAATTACCCTTTCTCAGGCATCCCGTGCAGATAATGTTATATCTGGGACCAAATGGGAACAGATGGAACAAATCAGAAAAGACATTCGTGACTTCAAAGACTTCCACAAGTTGGATCAGGTGATCGTTCTGTGGACGGCCAACACAGAGAGATTCTGTGATGTTCTTTCAGGCCTCAACACTACAGCTGAGGATCTCCTGGCAGCAATCAAAGCAAATGCCAAAGAAGTGTCACCGTCAACTTTGTTTGCAGTTTCCTGCATCTTGGAAGGGGTAAGAACTGACTTTTCTTCTTATTAATTACATTTTTATTACATTCTTCCACCCCATATCCTCATAACTAATATTTTTAATGTGCTAATCTTCCTGTTTGTATTATTCAGACGACCTACATCAATGGATCTCCACAGAATACCTTTGTTCCTGGTTGCATTGAATTAGCACAGAAACACAATGTTTTTATTGCTGGTGATGACTTCAAATCAGGGCAGACCAAGCTGAAGTCAGTCTTGGTAGATTTTCTTGTCAGTGCAGGAATCAAACCTGTCTCCATTGTCAGCTATAACCACCTTGGAAACAATGATGGAAAGAATCTCTCAGCTCCTCAGCAGTTCCGTTCTAAGGAGGTGAGTAAGTAGCATTAATTCACAAAGGAGACTTAAATGTAAGAATTTTTACTGTAAAATTGTAACAGCTGTTTCAAGTGAAATGATATTGTGCTTACCATTATAAACTTGATAAAGTGGCAACAAAGAGAGTGGATTGTCTGCCATCGGAAACATGCAACCAGAAGTTTTTATACTGTATTCTTCACACATTTCACAGAAGATACATATCATATGTATACCTTAGAAGCATAAAGGCTGATGCTGATAAGAATACGGTATTCTTCAGCCCCTGTATTTCCAAGATACAGACTATTTTCCATTAAATTAGTTCACTGGTACATAATCTTTGTAGCTTATACCCCTTTCAGGGCCTAAGTGCACAAAAGTGTAGTCAGGATATTTTTTTATTTATTGTTACATCACAATATCTGGATATTTGAATCTGGTCTACTTGATGTGTCATTCACAAATCCTAGTGATCGTTTCTGCCACAAGCTGAAGCAGATAAAATACTTACTTTCATATTTATTTGTCATCTCTATATTTTAACTGCCCCGAAAGCGATTAGTTCATAAAGTTATAAACATTTATGATTACTTGGGCTGGAAAAGGATATAATATTCTGTTGAGGAATTAATGACAAATAACAACTGAAGAGCTCTCTTTCTCCTTTTACCTCTGATTTCACCATCCTTTTCCCAGGAAGGGTGAAATCAAATACAACAGGAGAAAACTGGTGCTTTGAAGAAGTCTTCAAATATAAGAGTTACAATGAAACTTTAGTATAGCAAAACCCAAGTACAAATAACGTCAATTTGTGGGAATTCTTTATACAGAGGCTGCAGTTTATCTACCACTAAGTAGATTGTATTGCATCTAACAGCAACTTGGGAATTTTGTTATTGCATTTCATTTCATAAACATTTGAAATATCAAACATCAAATCTGTTTTCTCCTTAAATAATAAGGAAATAATTTATTCATCAAATATAAAATTTTTGGATATCTGTATTAGTGAAAATGTAAGCTGGACAACTCACACTCAATATGTATGCCAAAAGCTCAACAAGGCTCTTTATTTGATTTATTTATTTATTTACATTTATACATTCCGTTGATCCTTATGGGACAGCTGACCAGTGGATATGGATTTTGTCCCAAGCTGATAGATTAAAATACGCAAAATACAAAAACTACATACATACTTTTGTCATTAAGACAGTTAAAAGATTTATATTAATGTACAGTGCATAAAATGATCAAAATTATAAAACAATAATTGATACAAAATACTTAGGTAATGATATAAAATTATAACATATCAGGGGTACAATTACCAATTTTAATTACANTAAATCCTTATGTAACTCATTCAGCCAACCTGTATTAAGAAATGTCTATTTTACTAAGTTTGAATCTGTACTGAAATATGGTATATTTTTTGGGGTGGGGGGCTTAAGGACTCCGAAACTGTATTTAAAATACAGAAAAAATGTCTAAGAGTGATTAAAGGTGTTAATAATAGAGTATCCTGTAGAAATATGTTTGGTGAATTTAAGATTTTAACTGTTACCTCATTATATATATTTGAGATTTTATGTTTTATACTGAAGAATAAGATATATACAACTCAGTATTCTGACATTTACAGTTACAATACCATACATAAACATAATTTGTATGTCCAATTTTGTATTATTTATTTATTTTATATTACTTACATTTTTCTTTTGGTCTTTATTTTTTTATTATGATGTTCCTTATAACGGTTGCTATATTATAGTGATAAATCACTGTGTAAATTTTATGTGACTTTGATGTGTGATGTATTCGTTATTATTTCTTGACATGTCCAACTGTATTCACTTCAGTTATGGACGTAAATAAAGTTGAAAGTTAAAAAAGAATGTGGCATTTACACCCATTCTGTAAATTGAATCAATTTTCACTTAAATTTCTTATGATTGAACATATTCTTAAGGATTATTATTGGGGTAAAATATTGTGATGCTGATATTGTAAATTGCCAAATAAAGCTTTATTCTGATTTTAGCTTTTCTTTCCACAGCAACTCTGTAGATTTATTCCTTGCCCTTCTTGAAAACTCTGTCTCTTGTTTTCAGATTTCAAAGAGCAATGTGGTAGATGACATGGTGGATTCAAACAGAATTTTGTATGGCCCTGATGAGAAACCAGATCATTGTGTTGTTATTAAATATGTCCCATATGTTGGTAAGCTGATAATACTTTTATACATTGAAGTGAGAAATGTGGTAGCATGATATTAAAAGAAAGAAAATGGAATTAAAATGATCATCTATACCATGTATTTGTACCACAGATTATGAATAAATTACTTTCAGTTATTCAGTTATTGTGTTATCATGCATGGTAAAATTAAATATAATCATAGTGTTTTGCAAGGATTAAAATACCATATTAGTGCTTAAACTTGCCAACTTCAGTCACTAGAAATTTAATGCAGAACATGGAGTCAGTGTTTAATGAAAGATGAAGACAATTCTTAATATTTTGGATTAATGAGCTTTGGACTTTATCATCATGACATTCTAAAGAACACAACATTTTGGAAACTGGCTCTGTTACCCTCCCAATGGAAAAAAAGTGGGAGACACCTACTTAGTGGGGTTTGTTACAAAGAGCTAACCTCAGTCATTGGCTCTTCTGTATCTGACATATCTCATTAAGTATTCACTTCAGACAGAAGTGTCTTGAATACAAATTTTTTAGGTATTCACAAAATACATGGTATATATATATGTGCACCAAGCTCAGTAATCATGAGAAAATCACTAGCATAACAACAACAGATATTTGTGTGCATCCTCCAAAATTGCTGTCCAGGCTTTAGTGATTATTGTCGATCTAGTGCATGTGAACAGGACCATTCTTAAATGAAACACTCCTTTGTAATACCCCAATAGTGCGTTTGCTTGTCCTTGTCACTTGTGTCTGAGTTTACAAAAAATGGAGCTACATCCTTCTTGAACCAAGTTCTTCCACTGTCCTGGTTACTAGCAGACCTAGAAATACTTGTGGGCACAGTCATAATCTGTACTTATCAATGTCTGCCCTTTGTAGGTGACAGCAAGCGAGCCATGGATGAATACACTTCAGAGATTCTGCTTGGTGGCCACAACACAATTGTAGTTCATAATACATGTGAAGACTCACTGTTAGCCAGTCCCATCATTCTTGACCTGGTGATCTTGGCAGAGTTGTGCAGCCGAATTCAGTTCCGAAGAGCAGGGGAACCAGATTCAGGATACTGTGGTTTCCACTCTGTTTTATCCATTCTCAGCTACCTGTGTAAGGTATGAGCACAAACTTTGGGAAGGTTGGAATATTTATATTATAAAGTTACTATGACTTTAAACCAGTGTATCCCACATTTATGATAGCTTGTTTTCTGTAACCACATTCTAGTTTTCTCAGTTTTAATAATTATTCTTTCAGGGTTTCCTCCTCTTTCAGATTAAAATTACCTGTCCTCTAGTAAATGGGATTGATTTAAGAAAGTTTTTCATATGTTAACATATATTTCAACTTAAGATCAAATCCAAGAAGATTTTATTTTAATATAGGACACCAGAATTTCCACAAATGTTTGCAATGCAAACAATACTATAGCAGACACTATTAAACCAATAGAAAAAATCAAAATTTCTAATTATTAATGATATTTTATAGCTTAATGCAATCAAGTTTCCAATTTAAGATTGTTTTCTGAGTTGTGGTATTAATGGTAGACAGGTACACACATTTCAGAGCAATCTGCTTGCTGCCTTAGTAAGAAGAAGATGGTGGTGGAAGCAAGTTCTTCCAAAATGTCGGTACCTACATACCAAACTACCAAAAACAGGAATGTTCATATTTGCTGTTGTGGGAACCATGACCAGACTGTAGGGTCTATTGCATGTACTCTGCCCTTTTCAGGTTGCATTTGCTTCCCATGTTAGGGCCTCCTTCCTCTTTCCTTCTCATATTCCCCTCTTTTTTAGTTTATTCTTTCAGTCCTTGGCATCTTCATTTCCAGGCCTCTCTGCCCCTGGAATAGGGCCATTTAAGGCCACAGTTCTTACACACTCTCTCCTGACTTCCCTCTACCTCCCATTTGTTCACATAACCATTATTTCCCTCAATATCTCAGTCCTTGGAAAATGACACTTTTACAAACCCCATATTTTATAGGGCAGGCAGTAGCATAGATGGTTGAGGCACTGTGTTACAAACCAGAAGGTCACAGGTTCGATTCCTGATGAAGTCCTTGCATTTTTCAGTTGGCCTAATCTTTCCAGCCACACTATGACCCTGGGATCGACTCAGCCTCTAACACAAATGACTACCAGGAATCTTCGTGGGGTAAAGGGTGGCTGGAGCATAATGCTGACAGCATCATCACCATTTGTGACCCGATTGTCTACAAAATGCGAGAATCTCAGTGTCTTACAACCCTGTGGGGCTCTACAGCTTGTTACAGGGGTGACTATACTGTTCTCAATACTCCTATGGTTCATTCAGGGTCAGTACCTAGTACTCCCTATCCAGACCACATTTACATGGTCAGCTTACTCATCTACCCTGAACATGGAGAAAGCACATTCATACAGAAGGCTGGTCAATATCGACTATATTACATGGCAGTCACATCCAAGGAGATACTAAACTACAACAGAGGTATTGGTTAGGAGAGTACAAATGTCATTTTGACCCTCCTACATGTGCCACCCCATGTCTGTCATACACATTATTGCACACATGCTCACCCAAGTCAAGCAGTGTAATTAATGCAGCCATGGGTGTCTTGTTTTCTATCATTAGTTTGCTGACTATCCTTTATTAAAGGAACATAAATCATTTGTGAGTAGTAATGAAGTGGAGAGAACTATTAAGTGGTGATAAAACTTCATGTTACTACAGTTCAGTTCATGTTGAAATTAAGATATGGAAGTAAAAATCATTTCATCCTCAAAAATCATGAGACAGCAAAATATACTTGAGGAAAAATTATACAAATATGCACTGTATGTGGATGTAATCTATCTACTATATAAACTCCATAAACTTAAATATATTTACCAAAATAATAACATGGTAGTAAGATGTCTTTATTTTTCTGCATAATTACCCAGCTTTTTAATGGACTGGTCTAACACTCTGCAAGATTTCACACCCTGCAAGTTTTCACACCCTTTGATCACAAGAATTCGATCTTTATGTCTGAAAAATTTAGTTTGTCAGATCTGGAAGTTTTCTCAGTTTTCAGTAACATATTTCCTGCATTCAGCAAAGATATTACTGTTACAAATCAAGTCTGACATTAATATGACATTCAGTTGCAGCTTAAGGGTCCATTACCATCCATGTTAAAGATTGTGGTAGAGAAATCTACTATATACACAAAAACAAATGTTACCATTACTGTGTCATTTCAGGCCCCTTTGGTTCCCGAAGGAACACCAGTCGTGAATGCTCTGGCTAAGCAGCGATCGTGTATAGAAAATGTTCTCCGTGCCTGTCTGGGGCTACCTCCAGAAAGCAACATGCTTCTGGAACACAAGCTGCATCGTCCCATAATATCCTTTGGAAAACTACCTGCCTTACAAAATGGAACTGAGTTGCATAATGGAATATCGGTAACAAATGGCATGGCAGGAGATGTGCCCAAACAACTGGTTGATAAAATTCTTCAGAATGGGCCAAAGAATTACATACAAGGATAAGAAGTAAAGATTCTCAAAGAATTGATAATATATATTATACAGTGATCTCATTCATGACCAACCAGATTCACCTGTTAACCTTTTAATACAATTTTCCAGTATGGAAGTCATTTCCTTTAACATTTCAATTCCACAAAGCACTTGCATTTGAATTTTGCTTATATATCTGTTGTGTACATTTTTCGTTCATTCTTTATGAAAAGCCATGAAGGTTAATTATCTAATGACCACATGTACACAATACACACTGAATTTATGAATCCATTAACAGTATCATGTTTAAGTATTGTCCTTATATTTATAATTCCTGGTCGTTGTTTTTCCAAGATTCATGTTAAACTAGAACAGATGGTATTTCGTCTTGATATGAGTTTCCTTACTGCTGCAATTTTCATTTTATAAATTCTGTCATTCACGATTCTTTTACATGAAGATTGTGAGGGACATCTGATAAAACAAAAGTTTGTCTTATGCCAACATAATGCAATGAACAGCAGAACTGTTACATTTACTGTATGTTTGGAGATTTCTTCATGAGATGGTCATTTGAATTTTCACCTTGACCCAGAACTGAATTATGTGATAGGAACAGTATTTTCCATATATATTTTACAATTCGTACTGAAAGTATTTGCAGTTGTGAATATATTAACTTTCCTATAATACTGCTCAGATTGTGTTGATGTACACTATGGTGTTACATGTAGTTTAGTGTTTTCTTTGATGTTCCAGTTTTCTTTTAGTGTAAGTTAAATGACTTGTTACTTATCCTGCGGTTTGTATTACGTAAGTGGCAAAAAGAAGCATATTCTTAAAATTTTCAACTAATTATGACCACCCTCATCAATAATATTTTTGTGTGTTGTTATTTCATGCATTTCTAAACATTTAGCAAATTATAAAATGTCTAATAAGGAAGAATAACAACTCTTTGAGATTTCTATTTGTCTGTCATATCTGAAGAACTGTAAACCTGTCAAAAAATGTAATTAATAAAGATTCTTCATTAGCTGAATTAATTTATCAATTTTATCTGATGGAACCCATCCTCAGATTCTTTACATTTTATATCCTAGTGTTGGTCTTACTACAGCACATCTGAATATTTTTTGAAAATTTTGTCAAATTAATGATATTATGGTAAGAGTGAAGAGAATTCCAATTCAGAAAACTACGTCATCCATTATCTGTGATGGAAAGTAAAAAAGTAAACCATATATTCTGGAATTTATAAAGCATATTAATTTCATGTGGTATGCCAATAGAGCACTGTATGATGAAACTCAGTTCCCCTGGTTAACCTAAAAAGTGACAGCAGATAAATCATGAATTGATCCAACTTCAGATGCACAATGGAAACAATAAGGTAAAAGTTGGTCCCCGTGCTTAATCAATCAAGCACCACACCATGAAGACAGTATGGGGAAGTGGAGGTATAGCTCCACCACTCTTGACCTCAGCACTAGGTGAAGGTTAATAATAACTTCATTCCCCAGCCACTTTACACCCATTACCCACTGGATAGGAGGCTGGGTGGGCCCCAAAGCTGGTCTGGACATTGTGGAAAGGAGAAAAATCTTTTCTTCCAGGAATCAAATTTAAGCTATCCATCCTGTAGCCTGTAGTTTTTATATGGATACAAACCTTCACATTTCTAAATGAAGGCGAAATTCCTCAGAAGAGACCACTTCTGAGACCAAAACATAGATAGATAGATATTGTTAAAATGGGAACTAGAGAACATGGTATGAAGGCTTCGACTGAAAGAAAATGTAAGATTTGAGGCTTTCACGGCGGTGACTATGAAGAAAGCAGTCTTCTGGGATTTGGCACCGTGTATATGTGGTATTAACCACATAGAAAAGAAAATGGCTTACAATAGGAAGCAATGGGGGCTTCTGTAGGCACTGTGATGAACATTCAAGTTCCAGAAGAGCAGAGAATATCTTGACTGGGTTCTTTTCTTAACTATAAATTTTTCCAGAGACCTCTTATACAATTGTTTTACCATGATAATTGTTCAGTCCCAAATTATGACCTCTATTGTTTCAATGTTATTGTCTATATAAAAACGAAACTGTTCAGCATCAAAATTTATCATGAACCAAGTAAAAGGTAATGTTAAAACTGGGATATTCTAAAATTTCTCTCCTTAATAGTGTGCACTGGCGGATAAAATAAGAATGAAACACCACTGACAATAACACTTGTAATATTATGAACCATAATTTGGTGCAAATGTTGCAAAAATGTTTACATTGTCTCCAGTAAAATGCTTAACCCTTACCATCCATGTGATGCTCTATCATGAGGCCAGCAGATCCTAATAGACCTAGCCTGCTATGTATATAATATGCTCACATGCTACTTAAAAGTAAGAATTTTCAAGTCAGAGATGTGTCACAGAAGTGTTCATTGCTAGGCAACAGCTTGTTACAACACACTTCCATGACAATTAATATGTACACAACAGCAAGGGAACTGCTGAGAGTGGAGTTTTCTGATCAGTCTGCACTGGAGCTATACAAAGAGAGCCAGCATCATACCAAGGCTGCTCATCTACCCTGTTCCCGGGGGATATAAATATGGGGACCTAGCCCTCCAGGTTGGGGGAGTCTCAAATCTGAGACAGTAAAATATGGTCATGAATCACGCAGGACTTGGACCCAAGAATGACTGCACTGGTGAGGGCCAGATGTAACTGTAATGAGACCAATCCTCTCATCAGAGAGGATGTTACATAAGGGCTATAACCACACGTTTGAAAAAAAGAATACTGGTCATGGGACTCAAGGGGCTTGGTGCCAAGACAAACTGCCAAACTTTACAACTGCCAGTTGTAAAGTAACTGCAAAGCAGGAGAGAACAATGAGCTACCAAAGGATCCTCTGGGACGATGTTCCTCTCTAAGTTCACCTCAACTACACAGCTGCACTGCATCAAGACATGCAACACCAGCAACCACAGGCACTGCACACAGATGAAAAAAGCTTGCAGCATCTGTCACAACAAGAAATTCTGAAAACAGGTCTGTCAGTACAGGCTCCCAGTTCATCTAACAATGACATATTAAAGTCGCCACTGTAGTGCAACAGATCATGACAGAACTCAGTGCAGCTGTTTCAGAAAAAGGCAAAATAATGGTCATTAGGAAAATGGTCCTTAATGAAACAAAATACCTGCCAATTTAATGCAAATAGGATTTGGAGGCTGTACTATTAGCTCAGTACACAGCTGCAAGATTTACATATACTCGTAGATGTGGCTATGCTCTCAGAGAGACATCTCAAATCCTTGAGAGGCTCTTTATTCCAAATTATCACTTTTATTGCTTCTCAGGAAAAAAAGGTGGAATTGCCATTGCAGTTAGAAAGGCATTCCCCATAACCATGTAGAGCCACCTTCCCTTGCTTCAATAAAAGCCAAAGGGGTCTGCATACTGACTGGTAATAGTGAAGGGCTACTTGCCGCAGTCTATTCAACAGGTCACGTATGGAATGGTGCAGATATCATTGAGCTCTTAATCTTTAGACACAAGTTGCTACTGGCAGGAGACCTGAATGCTATAAATCCATTTTTGAATAGCATAGTTTCCAACCCCTCACGCACAAAACAGCTCAATTTACTGCATATAAATGACTTAATGTCCATTATTTATCGTCTGTCAATTGCAACACTTTTCCATTCAACACTCAATTTTAGTTTAACATCATACACCTTGACACTACATGTTTCGGCCCCAAATGGACATCTTCAGGCGTCTTGATATGTTACACATATTTTATTAAATTGTGTTAAAACTGCTACACTGTCTTAGTTTGTGTTAAAATCACACACTGTAGTCCTCTTTTCAAGTAAAACCAGATAAAATCCTTTAAAGTTTCCATTATACCCATGTTATTTTGTTGCATATTATTTCACCTCACATGGGGTGTTGTCCATTTTCATAAATGTATGTCTCTCCAGGGTATTTTGTCTTGACAGCTTGACCCTCACATTCGTAGCCTACTTTTCAGTTATGACTGCCATCTGTAATTTAAAAGATCCCTACATTAATGTTATTTTCTATTTGTTTGGTATTATTATTATTATTATGATGTTATCTTCGTTTACTTTGTACTCACATGCCCCTGGTTGGCGTATTTCCTCCACAGCGTGTGATGTTGTCTTTACTAGTGTGGATGCAGTGTGTTTGTTCCTGTATTTATATGTTCTGGTTGTGAGGAGTGGGGAGAGATGGGGGGGGATACTGTTATGTTGTGTAATTTTGTGTAGTATTTCAAATATAGGATTGTGTGTGTCGATGTTGGTGTCATTCATATGTAAATCTTTTTTACTAGTTTTGTAAATATGGTATTTCTCAAGTGGCTCTCAACTGCACCAACTAAGTCCTCTCTTCACAGACTCCCTTAGAGCTCTAAACTCTTGCTCCAATTGTGCTCCTTATAACATCTTGGCATGGACTGCGTACAAAATGCTGTTTCCAAAGTTCATCTATTGTTGTGCGTGAACTTGCTGCCATGGAAACCTGCTTGTTTCATAGTCGCTACTTAGTAATGGGGTTAGATGCTACAATATAAATGATTTAAAAAGCCACGCCATAGCTGAAGCGGTTAGTCACTGGCTTCCCACTGCAGCTGCCTGGGTTCAAACCCAGGTCTGGTCAAGGGGGATTTGTGGTGGACAAAGTGGTGCTGTAGTAGGTTTTCTCCGAGTACTTCGGTTTCCCCTGCCAATCTTCATTCCACCAAATTCTCCATCATCATAATCACCTGGGGCAGGCACAATGGGCCAATCAGTGGCTGCCATGCCGAGTGGACCCAACCAAACACCACCCACTATGGGAATTAAAAAAAAATATGAATGATATACACCAAACACCTGGTGTCTATCTAGGTCTCTTTGCAGATGAAACTTGTATATATGCCACAGACCACAAGGAGAGTTGTTTTCAGATAACTGCAGTGAGGTCTTAGTGCTATTGAGATGTGGTATGAGTACTGGAACATAAAAATCAATGAAGATAAGACTCAGGCCGTCTACTTTTCCCATAGACTTCTGCCAGCTGAGGCTCATCTTACACTGTATACATGGAATACCCCTTTCATTAGTAACGTAAAATATCTCAGGGTGATCTTCGATAAGAGGATTAAATGGATACTACACATAGAAATCACTGAAGCTAAGGCCTTCAGAACATTTACCGGAATCTACTACCAATTCAAAATTGAGCATTTAAGTGTCAACATTAAACTCACCCTCCTTAAAGCACAGATTAGATCAGTAATGACATATGATTGCCCTGCCCTGGAATTTGTGGCAGGCACCCACCTCTGAAAAATGCAGTACCTGCGAATCAAGGTCCTCCACACCACTGGAAGTTTTTCACAGTGCATAATAGTCTGTGATTTGCACACGACTTTCAACCTTCCATATGTGTATGATCATATAACAAAATTTAAATTTATATTTATGACTACTAATATGAATCCACAATAGAAATACAATTCAATACGAGTAATACATTTCATGAATATTGCCCGATGATGATCCAGCTGGATCAAAAAATGTAGCAAATGTACATAATAAATATTATAATACAGAAACATTGGTTTGTTTATTACAAATTTGTTGTACTGGCAGTTGTATAAAAATACTACATAGTAATACACAACAGGATGCAAACAATATGATAGATTATATATTCAATACTACTTGTTCTCTGAACCTTGTTCATCACTTGATAGTTGAATACAGAATACAATTTTACAAATTTTGCTCATATGGATTCCATTGAACAATAAGGAGACTGGCAAGTTGAGGAGGGCCCGGATCAACCTGGTCATATCTTCTCGATATTCTTCTCTGTGTCATGTGTAAGTCCCAGCTTACTCCATACATCATCATATCACAAGTTTTGTTTTATGGGTTTAATTTTGATTTTTTGGCTAGTCTTATTTTATGTTTTCAGGAAGACTGCCATAGTTTTTAATGTACATTTTACTGTTGAACCTCATTACAAACCTGGACTGGTTCATTGATCAATTTCTTCAACTGATTAATGAAGAGTTAGCTCCTAAAATCTGTGTTTTATTTTAGAATACTAGGCGACTGGCACAGACCAGAAAGCAAGAAATATTAAGTGTAAAATACCAACCTCAAAACCCTTTTTAAGATATTATGTAGCTTACTGCATTCCCTGTTTATGAGCTTGGATAGCACAGTTGGTATAGCAACTGGCTATGGGCTGGATGACTAAGAGGTCAGAGTTTGAGACCAGGTAGGGTCAAGAATTCTCTCTGTCATCCAGACCAGCTCTGGGGCCCACCCAGCTTCCTATCCAAAGGGTACCAGGGGCTCATTCCTTGGGGGTAAAGTGGCTGGGGCGTGAAGCTGACCGCTGACCCCCAACTAGTGCTGAGGTCAAGAAAATGTGGATCTATACATCCATTCCCCTATACGTTTTCATGGCATAATGCTTAATTAGTTAAGCACAGTGACAACTTTACTGCAGCCCCTGCCAAAAAATGTTAACTGACATTTGAAAGATACATGCATACTGCTATGCTGCATCTGATGTTTAGGAAATACAGGCTTTTACATCCAATGGTGCCACCCACATGAAGCTACACTTTCTCTTTTCTGACACCGAACTGGAATGTACAAAGGTGGGAATAAGAAAGTCATGATTTTGATTAAACTTTACCTTCATGATATATTTTTCTTTCAATATCACTACCTTGTATGATGAATGTCACAACATCCCACTGTTGCAATACCTTCAACACTCAGTCTAACGTGTTTCAAAAGACTGGTAACAATTTTGGTTTTTGAGCTTTACTGTTGTGATATGAAAGGCTGTTGTCAGAAGTGGCTAATGATAGTCTTGTAAACTGTAAAGTCCATAAGTGCACAGAAGCAAATAACAGATTGTTTGAATGTGTTTAATCATATTAAAATTGAAGAATTCTCATATAAACATAGTTAAATTAGGAACAAACTGCTGAACCTGTTGGCATTTTAAGAGCTTCAGATTCTAAAGCAAGGAAAATAACTACATTATAAATTTTACAAGTAACTTGTACTCTGAAACACATCAGGGAAACCTGCTACATCTATCTGTACACTGTACTGCCTTACTTTATGGGAAAACTGAATTACATTTTGGCAGATACAGTATGTAATTATGACAATATAACACATCTACTAATTTTTGGTCTGTGCATGTGGGTGTGTGTATGCATACACATGCATGTGCATATCTCTTCATCCATCCAATTGTTCTTATACTGTTAAGGGCACACAGATGAGAAACCAGTGTTATTTAATATACCTTCTAAACATGTTTTATCTTCAAGAAAAAAACCTAGAATTATTAATAAGTGAGAGGAAAGAATTTTATGAAAGTAATAAGAGCAAAGCTTCAAGTCAAATTCTGAGGCAGTGATGTTACAAATCCTAGTAACTAATGCATGTCTAAAGTAGGCTCAAAATGGAAGAAACCAAGATACTTTTCTGAAGCCATTCTCAAGTCTGAAAATATCTGGATGTCCTAATAGGGTGTTATGCAGAAAGCATACTCATATATACAGTGAGCTTCTTTATGAGTGCTTGCTGAGATGAGCCCCACAGAGTTCCCGTCAAGTTTGGAAGACCCGCAATGTGTAAGTTCAATTCACAGCTGTGTTGTTTAGAAAATTTACTGTCAACAGATACAGAATATCTATTAAAACCCATCGCTAATCTTCAATGTCAGCATATAAAGCTCCTGCTATTACAGAGTGCTGGTGATTGGATTTAAACTTGGCAATAATTGGATTTTTTTGGCAAAGAATACAATATTAGAACTGTAGGGGCTTGACGAACCAGCACATGGGCAATGACAGTTGTACAATGTGTGGAAGATAAACTTTCAACACAGAACATTAATCAATGCACTGCAAAGAAGTACTACAGAAGTCAGATATGAACTAATACTTACATAATATTCACAGTGCCACTGTAAATTAACCTAAAATTACAAGGGTCCTGTTGTATGGAGGTGTGCTGCAGTGGGAGGTCTTTGCCGTGAAATGTTTATGTTTATTACACGTCGATTATCATCCCTATAGAACTGATTGCTGTTCCTCCATTTGTCACTTGCTTCTTGAGCATTTCTTCTCCTTCGGTCCACATAACTCACTACACAACTGGCTGGAATCCAAATGATGGCTGTCACAAGGATCACTGTACCAACAATATTGTCCCGTAGAAAAACTAGAACTTTGTTGATATTGATGTCTTCTATAATATCCCAGAATCTCTCCACCACATCTTGGATTGTTTTCTCACACATACCCTGCAACACAGTGTAATGGCATTGTTTGACTGGATGACCAATCAATTGTTTTCTGGGTTCATAACCAACTCACTGCTTTCATGTGAATGTCAACACTTCACACAGTCCAAATCAAGATTTAAACTAACAGTAAACTAACCCATTTCTCTACAGCAAAAATGTACCGCACAAAACCAAACGTTACAGTTAAGCCACTACAACTCTTACTTCATATCTCTGAGGCCACAAGCTCAGTTACTGATCCAGAGGCTGGTTTTCCTGAGACTAAAACAGCTTTCCTCATTTCTTCAAACATATACTACAATAATACCTTAAAAGTGAAGATGACCTCCTCCTTCCACATCTCTCTCAATTCATCATTCACTGGCTTCCTCTCATTCAGTGCTATAATATCTATGTATCTGAGGAAGCATAATGATTATAGTGCAATATTATAAGTGTGGATAATCTCTAAGACAGGGCAGTAACACATGAAGGAACATTCTATCTTATCTGAAATATAAACGTAGAGAGCTATAATAAGTTTTCCAAGGGGACTCAACTACAACTGCATACTTATGCCAGAAATGTAGTAAATGGCTTCTTTTCTACAAGACTTAAAGCTGGTTACTTACCAACAACAGTGCCATGACCCATAAGCTTTCAGTTTTATCACTGTAAAAGGTTCCTGGTTGTAACCTACACAGATTATAAGCTCTTAACATATATATGAAATTCACTTTGTCATGTGCCCACATGCTAAAAGCCTTGATCGAAACCAGAGTGAGCATGACTTGGTCAGATTTTATGGTGAGGAGGAGGAGGAGTCTGGCAGACATCAAAGTAATCATGGTTTATACAAAAACACGAGTTTTCCTCCATCACCATATATATACAGTATATATATATATATATATATATATATAGTGACATGATTATGTGGTCTGTTACTAGGCAATGGCTGGATAAACTTATTATCATGACAATGGATATGCACACAATAATCAAAGATACAGCTGAAAATGGTGTTTTCTATGTGGTTCAACCCCAGGCTATATAACAAGCACCAGTGACATAAGTCGACAGCCAGAGCAATGATTTAGTTGAGAAACAGTCACCAGCTGGTAAGGATGTAAGCATGGAAGCAGAGGACATTGTTGGTATCCGTTAGTAGGCAAAGACTGGTGAAGACACAGCAAACTGAGAAGATTTAGTGCATGCTGTAGCGAGAAGCAGTGTGTGTGAATTACTGAGAGTGTTATGATCACTTATAATTACGATTTATAAGTGTTGAATAAACCCAATTACCAATCCAAACCCCGTGTCTAGTCACTAACATGCGACAATATATGAGGGCAGTCAAATGAAAACAGGGTGTTTCGACTTTATGGCATGTCTCAATTTCTGCAAAGTGTCTTCATAGCGCTGTGCACTGATTGTGGCCCCATGCTCAAGAAATTCGACAAGCAGAGGGCCCTTACAGTTGAAGAAGAACGTCATCACTTCACCGGAACTTGTATGTACGGCTCTGGACTTCTTCGGTGGGGGAGAATTCATGAGTGTCCACTGTTGGCTATGCTGTTTGCTTTCAGGTTCAAAACGGTGGCACCAAGTTTCATCCCCAGTGGCAATACGGGACAGAAAAGCATACACTTCCTCATGGTATAGTTGCAAGTGACCCAGTGATGCAGCCATTCTCTGAGTCTTCTGTTCCTCCGTGAGTTGAAGTCGAACCCACTGCGCACAGTTTTTATGGTACAGCAGGTGTTTTGTCACCATGATTTATTCCCCACAAAAGACTAATTTCTTCCATAGTGATCCGTTGGTTTGCCTGAATATGACCATCCAACAAAGAAATAACATCAGGAGTGATGACACGATGAGCCTGTCCTGGGAGCATCATCTTGCAGTGATACACATCCCTCTCAGGATCTCTTATGCCATTGAAACATGACATGCTGTGTTCACCATAAACAACAGACATGTGACAATGAATTTCTCGTCCTTCTACTCCTTCAGCAGTCAAAAAGCACACTACACTTCACTGTTCTTCTTTACCCACCTCTATTACTGTTGGACGACCACATGTAGTGCTAACCTTACTTCCAGCACAATAAACAAAGGACCAGTGTGCTAGGGCACATTGTCACTGTGCTTTCCCGAGTCCCCCCAGATGTTCGTACCGTAAGCAAATTCCAATGTTACCAACTTGCATGCCATGAGAATTATGTGTGGTGACCCATTTTCATTTGAGTGCCCCTTATATAACCATTAGTAGTGGACTGAATGTGTTAGCATCCCTCATTCCACAATCAAAGACAATTCAAATTTCTTTCTTGCTTATCAACTTATATGCAAATGAATGACAGATTAATTATGAATGATAAGTTGAAAAAAAAGGCATGGAAGGAATCACGCACAGCCTGCAGTCCCAGAATTTGTTTGCAGTATCTGAGAAAAGGCACAGAAACACCAGGAGTTGATATTCAAAACCATGAATCTCTCAAATGTGAAGCCGGAATGCTAACTACTATACTACAATAATCTGTAGTTGTTATTTTCTGCCTGTAGCAGTACCTTATTGCAGAAGCCCTGAATACAGGGAGTTCCATCAGGCAGAATGTCTTGAGGATCAACAGGGAAACATGTGTCATTCAGGTTCATGCGACAGCATCGTTTACAAGCATCTGCAACTGAAGAGAGAGATTTCACAATGAATACTGGAATTAGTAAGATTTACAACTGAATTCTCTGAAATACATTTTTAAAATAAACATACAAACACATTTAAATGTTCTAGAATTGCAGTCATCACTTCTACAACTTCTGTTTAACCCTTTAAAGCTTACTAAATGCTTCAACACTGAAGAACACTGCATTTTACCAACAGAATACATTTGCATGTTTTGTATAATTCTCAGAACAGTTACTTCTCTACACAGAGTTAAATGGTTGGTTTTGGTAATGCAGAGATGGTATGTTTTCTGCATGGTAGGAACAAAACTAACTGACTTCATGGAGCTGAGCCCCTCTTGAGAAACCACCAGTTGTTCAGCTAATCAAGAGCTTACCATGTTCACAAGAGCCATCCATTGTTCCCTATTCTGAGCCAGATCAATCAAATCCATATAATCCCATCCTATTTCTCTAAGATCAATTTTAATAGTATCCACCAAACTACATCTTGGTCTTCCTAGTGGTCTCTTTCCTTCTGGCTTTCCTATCAGTATCCTGCCCTGCTCATCCCAAGTTATGTAGCTCCTCATTATGCAATTTTCTCCAACCTCCTATTACTTCATTTCTCTTTGGTCCAAATATTCTCCTTAGCACCCTGCTCTCAAACACTATCAGTCTAGTATATTCCTGCTTTAATGTCAGAGACTAAGTTTCACACCCATATATTTTTAAATATTATTTCAATGCACTTCAGGCCTCAAACGGTTGAAATATCTTTTACAATCTGAGAAAAGAACATCAATACAGATATTTCAAACAAGCATGTTTTTACTTTTTCCCAACAGCCTGACAGAGGGAGGAGATTCCATTTACTATAAAACTCTCAGAAAGAACTTGGGAATTTCTATCATAATAAACCTACAGTAAAAAAATTGTTTAATCTTCTGAATGTCGGGTCTCATGCCATAGCCAATAGAAGAACTGTCAGTTTCTTTTAATATAATAATCAGTAGAAAGGAGATTTCTGTACCAAAGATAAGCATGAATTGTTTAAAAATCAAATATTTTGTACTATCATGCCAACTACTGACATACAATATTGTCACATTTTAGGGTTGTTTGTGACTAAAGAAGGAGTATGAACTGGTAAATGGATTTATTGACCACTTGTACACACCACTCAGAATTACAAGTAATTACGAGGGGCGTTCAAGTTCTAAGGTCTCCGATTTTTTTTCTCAGGACTGGGAGCAGATAGACATATGCGGTTTAGTTTAAAATACGTGTGCACTCTTTGTGAATGCGTGACAGAGATGGCAGCACTCTACGGCACACAGAACTCTAGTGGTAGTAGCGAGAGTGAGAAGTGTTTTTCGTACTTAAAATGGCGACGTTTTCATTACAAGAACAGTGAGTAATCATTCGTTTTCTCCACTTGCATGGTGCGACACCCATTGAAATTCATCATCAGTTGAGTGAGACGTGTGGTAATGGTGTCATGAATGTGAAAAATGTGCGTTCGTGGGTGCGACAGTTCAAAGAAGGCTGAACGTCGTGTGACAACGAACCAAAACAATCTCGGCCTCACACCAGCCAGTCTGACAACATGGTCGAGCGAGTTGAGAAAGTTGTTTTGGAGGATCGCCGATTGAGTGTGGAAAACATCACCTCCAAAGTTGGCATTTCCGTGGGATCTGTGCACAAAATCCTGCATGAAGACC